CGCGCTCTGGCTCCGTAAGAGAGTATAAGCTACTCACTGGCAGGGGCGCTCCGGGCTGGAGGTCTATTCTGCAGTCAAAAGACCGATGCGGCGGCAGCTGGTCTGCCCCCCTGTTCCTCGAACACGTCTTGGTAGTCCCGGTACTCAGTGGGGAGCGTTGATGCAGCCTCCTCAGTGGGCGCGGCTGCTAGCTTCTCGGACCGAGCATGGGGACATGGGTCTGGGAAATGCACAGTCCGATTGACCCAGTCAATCTGAACATTGTGAGCCTCCAGCCAGTCCATCCCGAGCACCAGGGGGAACTGGGGCATGGAGGCAATGTCCAAAGTTCGCACCTCCCGGTGCTGCTGGAGACACAAGACCAAGGGCTGGGTCTCCCGAGTGATGGCACCCGAACGCAAGAGCTGTCCATCAACTGCCTCCACCTGTACCGGTTCTAGCTTGTTCTGAAGTGGCACCTAATGATGCGCAGCAAAGGCAGCGTCCATATAGAAGCGGGTTGCCCCCGAATCTACCAGAGCGTGGGTAAGAATCCAGGGCCCACCTGGAGGGTAAAGACGCACCGGAACCATGAGATGTCGCAATTCCACTGGTGTGGGCCCCTCTTGCATGGTTTGGGACCCCAGGTTGCCAGGCCTTTCGGCTACCGAGGTTGGCGGTTTCCCTGCGGCTGGCATCTTCTCGGGACAGGACCGGGCGTAATGTCCACTCCCACCGCAGTACAGACACAGGTTCCCCTCCCGACGCCGCGTCTTCTCCGAGGGGGAGAGGCGAGGTCGTGCAGCCTCAAGCTGCGTTAGCTTGTCCGGCAACTCGGCTGTGGCCGTGGAGCTGCTGGGAACAACTGGAGCCAGGAGCCGGGAGTGCTGGCAGTCCCAGGCCTGGTGACGGTCCTCCAACCGATCGTCTATCTGTAGGCTCCGCTGAATGAGGGCGTCCAGCATGGTGGGACGATCCATCGTGGCCAACTGATCCAGTATCTCGTCCGACAGTCCCTCAAGATACTGGTCCCGAAGTGCAGCGTCATTCCAAGACAAGTCCTGTGCCAACAGCCGAAACTCTGTGGCATAGGTGGTGGCTGTGGACTTGTCCTGTCTCAACCGACGAATCACCCGATTGGCTTGGCTCTCCTTCAGAGGGTTGACGAACGCAGCCTCTTAAGTGGTTACAAAACCCCACATAGTCTGTTAGCAAAGGAGAGTCTTGCCGAAGCAGTGGCAAAGCCCACTTGGCTGCCTGGTCCTTTAACAAACTGATCAAGAAGTGCACCTTGGTGCGGTCGTCAGGGAAGTTCCGGGCTCGCCCATGAATATACAACTTGGCCTGGGCGAGGAACATGGGAAAGCTGGCCAGGTCCCCATCAAATTTCTCTGGCAAGGCTACCGGGTACTTGCCTGGAGCTGGGGCGTCGGCCCCAGGAGCTGGTAGGGCGTCCAACCGCTGCTGAAGCGCCATAACCACATCGCTTAGCTGCTGAACGGTGTGGGTCAAGGCCTGGTTCTCCTGGGCTAGTGCCACCAGCGCAGCTTCCTGGTCAGCCATGGCCTCTGGCTCTTCCCGAACGCACCCCAATGAAGGGGGAGTGCGGGTGTGGCGGGAGCAAACTGTGCTGGTCCAGGGGGGGAGGTTACTGTGGGGCGAGGTCCAGGACCTGAGTCGAGGGTCGGCAGACAGTCCTCCACAGGCAAAGCAGGGTCCATAGCGAGGAGCAGGGCAAGGACAGGAACTCTGGGGGAACAGGACTGGATGCTGGCCCAAACAGCTCTTCAACGACGTTGCTCCCGCAACCTGGGACCGGGCTGACTGGCCTTTATCTTCTCTGAGGCCAGGGGCGGCCCCGGCCCCCAGGAGACCCGCCTCTCCTGGCCTTAAGGCGAGCACTCCTCCTGGGAGAAACCAGTTCCCTTTGCCTCTCTGCCCTGAGCCTCTGCAGTTCAGGAGAGGCTGAAGGGTTACTGGACCCAGGAGGAGACTCACCTGTAGGCACTGAGTCCTCAACCACCTCCAGAGCCAGAGGGGATTCACCTGGTGCCTGGTCCTGAGGATCCGGCACAGGTGCAGGCGCTTCAGAATCAAGGCCCTGCCCCAGTTCAGCCGGCCCTGGAGGCGGGGACTCCTGTGCAGGCTGGGATTCCTCCGGTTCAGCCTCTGAATCGGATTCCCAGGCCATCACAAGGATGCTTCGCCCTGCCAGATTTGAAAATGTACTATGAAGCATCCTGCCTCTGTTGGTTAAAGGAATGGATGTTATTAGAAAATACAGAACTGTTAGATTTGGAAGGCTACGATAATAGATTTGGAAGGCACGCATATTTATGGTATAATAAGACAAAATCCACAAATTTCAAAGATCTTTAATAGAAATATGGGATAGGTATAAAAACCTATTAGAACGTAAAACACCGCATTGGTTATCTCTATTAGAAACAATGAGTGTGAAAAAGGTCAATATGAGTGGGAGATGGATAACTTATGGGAAGTTAATACAAAAGGAGGGAAGTAAATGGAAAATGAAACCATATGAAGAAATTAAATAACATGTGAAGGATTGACTGCAGTACCGTCAGGTCAATTAAATGTTTAAACAGGATTATAAAGAAAAAGGATTTGATGAAAGTAGGTCAAAGTTCGAATTAGAGATATTTAGTACTGATTGTAAAATTTTGTCTAAAATGTATAAATTGCTGCTTGAATGGCATCTGAAGGATGAGGAGGTAAAGTCGGTTATGATTCATTGGGCTAAAGATTTTGGGTATAACATACAGCTGAATGATTGGGTAAAATTATGGAAAGAAAGTTTAAAATTTACTGCATGCAATGCCTTAAAAGAAAACGTGATGAAAATGATGTATAGATGGTATTTTACACCCATCAAGTTAGCAAAAATGTATAAAGTTAGTAACAAATGTTGGAAATGTAAAGAAAAAGAGGGAACATTTTATCACATGTGGTGGGAATGTAAAAAGGTGAAAAGCTTCTGGGAGATGATATATAATGAGATGAAAAAAATGTTGAAATATGCATTTATAAAGAAACCAGAAGCATTTTTATTGGGCATTGTAGGAAGTGATATAAATAGAAAGGAATGTAAACTGTTCTTATATGCAACAATGGCAGCAAGAATGTTATTGGCCCAAAAATGGAAGCAAGAAGAATTACCGACGAAAGAAGAATGGAGGATGTAATTAATGGACTATGCAGAATTGGATAAACTAACATGAAAGATCCAAAATCGGCAGGACCAGAAATTCACAGGAGACTGGAGTAAATTTATAGATTATTTGAAAAGTATTTGTGATGACCAGACTACGTTTGTAGGTTTGCAAGAAGTTTTGTGAGAAGTATTATTGGAATTATTGCAAAAATGGATAAGGGGGAGGAGGGTTAGTTAAGACAATTAAAGGTAATAAGAATTTAAGAAATGCATAAGAAGTGGTTAAAATGGTGGATCATCAGAGGTGCTGAGGGAAGTCCAAAAAAGATTGTATAAAGGATGAAGTTTTGTGGTATGTATTATAATATCAACAACCTCAGATATGCAGATGACACAACCTTGATGGCAGAAAGTGAGGAGGAATTAAAGAACCTTTTATTGAGGGTGAAAGAGGAGAGCGCAAAATATGGTCTGAAGCTCAACATCAAAAAAACGAAGATCATGGCCATTGGTCCCATCACCTCCTGGCAAATAGAAGGGGAAGAAATGGAGGCAGTGAGAGATTTTACTTTCCTGGGCTCCATGATCACTGCAGATGGAGACAGCAGCCATGAAATTAAAAGACGCCTGCTTCTTGGGAGAAAAGCAGTGACAAACCTAGACAGCATCTTAAAAAGTAGAGACATCACCTTGCCAACAAAGGTCCGTATAGTAATAGCTATGGTTTTCCCAGTAGTGATGTATGGAAGTGAAAGCTGGACCACAAAGAAGGCTGATCGCTGAAGAATTGATGCTTTTGAATTCTGGTGCTGGAGGAGACTCTTGAGAGTCCCATGGACTGCAAGAAGATCAAACCTCTCCATTCTTAAGGAAATCAGCCCTGAGTGCTCACTGGAAGGACAGATCGTGAAGCTGAGGCTCCAATACTTTGGCCACCTCATGAGAAGAGAAGACTCCCTGGAAAAGACCCTGATGTTGGGAAAATGGAGGGCACAAGGAGAAGGGACGACAGAGGACGAGATGGTTGGATAGTGTTCTTGAAGCTACCAGCATGAGTTTGACCAAACTGCGGGAGGCAGTGGAAGACAGGAGTGCCTGGCGTGCTCTGGTCCATGGAGTCACGAAGAGTCGGACACGACTAAACGACTACACAACAAATTATAATTTATATGTTAAAATTAATAAAAATTATTATTTAAAAAAAGTGACAAAGGGCTGCATTCCTCTCATGGCAACAGGAGAACGGGGCCTTCTCTGCAGTGGCTCCGTGTCTGTGGAATGCTCTCCCCAGCAGGGAAGTTTGCCTGGCGCCTTCATTATACACCTTTAGGCACCAGGAAAAACGTTCCTTTTTAATCAGGCCTTTGGGTAATCTGCTTGACATCCTATACCCTTTTAAAATGTTATTGGGTTGTTGTTTTTATTCTGATTATATATGTTGTGATTTTTTCTGTGAACTGCCCTGAGACCTCCAGGTATAGGGCAGTATATAAATTCAATGAAGAAGCAGCAGCAGCAGCAGCAGAAGATGTCAATGGAGCAAGGCAGGGGAGGGGGCGACAATTCATTCATTAGCTTGCAAAGTGAGCCTGACGTGCTGATAGTCAACAAAACTACAACAAACTCCACCAGCTCACACAGGGAAATGGTTATTTAAACGAGCAGCCACCAAGGATGGCTTAATATATTTCCACCGTAACAAAGCTGCTCGGAGCTCCACCCATCTCCAAGGCAACAGAGATCCTGAGTAATCACACCTGAATTTCCTGTAAAGGGAACACGCCCATTGGCAGACGCAAAAGAGAGAAAACGAAACCAGCTCCCTCTTCCTGGCGAGGCAGCAGCCATGGCAGCTTCTGGGGGTCCCGTCCAGGATCTCCGCGAGGAAGCCACTTGCCCCATCTGCCTGGAGTATTTCAGGGATCCAGTGATCATCCCAGAGTGCGGGCACAACTTCTGCCGATCCTGCCTGGTCCAGTGCTGGGGGGAATCCGAGGGAGAGGCTTCCTGCCCTCAGTGCAGGGAAAGGGTTGAGCAAAACAGCATCAGGAAAAATCTGCAGCTGGCAAATTTTGTAGAAATAATTCAGAAATTCAACCATCCGCAGGGGAAAGAGGAGGGAGAAGGAAAGGGGAGGGTCTGCGAGAAGCACCAGGAGCCCCTGAAGCTGTTCTGCAAGGAGGACCAAAGCCCCATCTGTGTGGTGTGTAATGTATCCAAGGAGCACAAAAGCCACGAGGTGGTTCCTCTAGAGGAAGCGTCCCAGGAGTACAAGGTGAGAAAAGGCAGAGGGTCTTTCTTGGGGGGTGGAATAGCTGCAAATAAGAGGGGTTTGCAAAATAAAAAATAAATATAAAATATTGTAATGTATTCTTTCCTCTTTTTTTTTTTTAAAAAATCATATTTATTAAAGTTTCCAGAAATATAGAAATACAAAGAAAAAAGAAAAAAAAAAAAGATATTTAAAACCTTACTTTCATTGCCTACTTTCTGGGACTCCCCCCCCCCCCGACTGTATTCCCCTTTCCTTATTTTGGTTCTACAAGCTCTCACTCCCAATTTGAAACTTAATTTGTTTAACCCACTATCCAGATTGAATTGTACAAATCTTGCACCGTCCCACGTCATTAACAAGAAAAGAAAAAAGATTTTCCCCAAGATCCACCCCAGTTCCTTCCACGAATTCCCTTTTTTTAAACACATCCAATCAAAATAAAATGACATGCGTAAGTTATATAAAGAAATAGAAAATAAGAGATATATATAAAAAAAAAATTCAAAAGATTGTTACACAGCCTTTGGATTCCAAATCTCCCCCCCCCCTTCCCCGGTTTGAATTCCCCATGTCCATCAGTCTATACATTATCATCCTGGAAGTCTCAATTCATGGCCAAATTTCTCCCCAATTCCATCTTGCCGGTTTTCTTTTAATTTATTAATTTTAATGATATTTAACTTCAAGTGTCCAATCTAACAAAGGCCTTTAATTTCCTTGATCTTTACCACTCCTCCCATTGTTCTTTCCGTGTCGTAGTCAGTCCTTTGTTCTTCTTATTCCTCACTTTCTCAGGTTTCTTGTCCTGTTCAGCTGCTAAAACTTTCTAATTCAGAAATCTGGTATCTCTACAGAGGTTTGTTATTCAGGAACAAAACTTACGTCCAGTCCCTTCCTTTCTTCAATAGAAAATTCTATTGTCTCCTTTAATGTAAATACCTCTGTAGACAAAATACTATTTCAGTTTTGCAGCTTTCCCAGAAGATAACAAGTCCTGTGTGAATCCCGGAGTATTTTTCCACTTACGACCGTTCTTGTAATGTCCCGATACCCCTCTAGGGGGATTGTAATAACTTTGTATCCTCTAATCCAAAAGTCAAATTGTTGTTCCTTATTTTCCGACAGTTTATATCCATATTATAGCAAATTGTAACAAAATTAACCAGCAAAGTCCTCGTAACAAAGTCCTCTTTATATTCTCCAGCTTTGACAGCTACTTTGACAGCTGTCAAAGTCTCCGTCTCTCTTCACCAGGCTCCGCGAATCGCCCCGGTTCCCAGGGGGGGGTTGCATTTTCCTTCTCACCCTCCACTCTTCTCCTCCAGCACAGTTCTTATAATTTCGCATCGTGGAATTAATGATTTTTATCAGAAATATACTTCCCTTTGGACCTTGGTTACTCAGTCCTTGTTTTGGAATGCTTACAGTAGGGGGGGGGATTGACTTCCTTTTTAAATCGCCCCCGCTCGTGCCAAATCCAAAATTTTGAACCCAGTTTCCCAATTACTCACAGGTTGTTGTTAATAGTCCAAATTTTCAATGGAAGAAGTCAGCGCTCTCCGTCGAATGGCATGCGGCTGCGCTCGGCAGGGAAAGCAGAAGACTCAAAGCACCGCGCCGCTCCCCGGCACCCGATCCGAAGCCTTTAAAAAGGCTCCTTCACGAGTCGGGAGGGCGCTAATGGTGCAAGCCGAGTCACCCATGTCCACGGACTCCATGCCCGTGGTTTTTAAGGGTCCCCGCGTCGCCGGCGCGGTAGGACCCAGCCCCTGCCGAGCAGACTCCCTCCGGAGCTCGGAGGGAGTCCGCCATTCGGCGATGGCGCCAACCCGGAAGTCCTGTAATGTATTCTTTCCTCTTGCAGCCCAAAAGGAATCCTCCAGCAAGAGATATTGTGCAGCCTGATAAGACTAAACTTCTGAAACTTTATACAATAAACATTTTTCTTTTTGAGAGATTAAAGTGCACCGCCTGAATGCAGGCTGTAGTAACTCCACTGGGAGGAAATATTGCAACATCGAGGATTAATTTAATAAAAAGGAGGGGGGAGATGTTGGAGGTGTGTTCAGTGTGGGGGACAAATAGCAAAACCCCCATGTTTCTCAGCTCTGATATAGGGCAGCCCCATTTCTGCCTCGTCTGGGATGAAAAAGGGGAACCTCTGCAAAAGACCCAGGGATGTGGGGCAGGGAGCAAACATAGGGTTGAGCTTGCCTGTTAATGTGTAACGCAGCCCAACTTGAACTTTGTTTTCTTTTCAGGATCAGATCAGCAGCTGCCTAGACAATGTGAGGAAGGAGAGAGAGAAAATTCTAGTATTTAAAGCAAACACAGAAAAGGAAAGCCAAGACCTGCTTGTAAGCACTATTGTTACTATTTTAAGGTGAAAAATGCTATAGTCTAAAATCAATATCGGGGGAGGGGGAGAATATGAAATACAGAAAGGGTTTCTTTTGAACAGCCTTATCTCCCACAGAGCATGAAAGACTATTTAAAGGAGGGGGTGGGCTTGTAAGTTTTTACGAAGCTCTTTCTCTGCTGAATATGTCAGAAGTGGCCTTCCAAGGAAATCTGGTTAACTGGCCTCTTCATCCTTCAAGAGCAGACTAGATGCCTGATATTGGCCCACTGTTCTCTTCTTTCAACCTCTTTGCTGCAGAAACAAACAGATGCAGAGAGGGAAAAGATGGTGGCTGAGTTCAGGCGACTGCACCAGTTTCTGGAAGAACAGGAGAAACGTATTCTGGCCCAGATGGCGGAAGTGGAGAAGGAGATTGCAGCCCAAAGGGAGGAGCACCTGCCAGACTCTCCAGGGAACTCTCCTCTCTTGACAGCCTCATCCGGGAGATGGAGGAGAAGCTTCAGGAACCAGAGAGTGAACTCCTGCAGGTGAGGCCTCATCCTGATGTGAGAGGGTGGAGTGGGCTGCTTAGTCACATTAAAATGCTACCGGAAAGAAAACAGTACATGAAAAATGAAAGGCATCAGTCCTGGGGTCGCAAAAGGGGCCTTGCTAGATGAAACCACAGGCCCCTTCATTCTTGCATTCTGTTCTTTCATTGGCCAACCAGAGGTCTCTGAGAAGCCTAAAAAACAGTAGTGCTCTCCAAACCTGTGATCCCCAGCAGTTGCCACTCAGCTGCTTAGTATTTATAACTGACTGAAGAAATGCCTCCACTGACATCTTTCTTTCTTTCCTTCCAGGATATTGGAAGCTTCTTGCAGAGGTAAGTGATGGAAAACCCCTGCCTTATTCTGATGCCACAGAAGTTCCTGTTTAACAAGTGAGAAACTCACTCTCCAGTTTCTCCTTCTAGAGATAGCTTAGGACTCCATCGTCTATTTCACAAAATCACAGACAAAAATAGGGACACATTTTTGTGGTAGCTATTGGTCCCATCTACTGTAAAATTACAGACAGAAAGCTGTTCCCATTGCATATTTCTGAAGGCCCTTCTCTGTGATGGAATCATTTACTCTGTAGTTGATACAAAATGGAGGGACATTCCAAACGGGCTTGTAAACATCTTCACTATAACTTACCCGTAAATATTTGATATATTTCAGGTTTCTGCAGGTTCTTCCTCAGACATAAGAATGTGAGAAAGGGCCCTGCTGGATCCGGCCAGTGGCTCATCAAGTCCAACATCCTCTTTTCACAGTGACTAACCAGATGCCAGTGCAAAACTCGTGAGCAGGATCTGAGCCCCAGAGGACGCTCCCCTCCTGTGGTTTCAGAGGCACCACTGCCTTTGACCCAGCCATGATGAAGAGTAGCCTCTGAGAGCCTTGTCCTCCAGACAACTTCAAAATCTCAAGAATTTTGAAAATCTGCCATGTTTAGAAAATATTGCTTTAATTTCCAATATTGTCTCCATTTTAAAAATATTACCACTGTGCTAAAATACATTTATAATGTTAATTGCAAAAGCCATTCCAAAGCATTCTGAACTTCTTTATATTTCAGAAATGCACATACCAGATCTATTTTGTTCTACTCATTTATGCTTCACTAAAACTAGTGTAGTCCTAAAATCTCTGCATAAGGACCCAGTATTGTTCACTTTTCTTCAAAAAAATAATTTGCATATATTAACTTCTTCACCTTCAATCTCATATTTCTATATTTCCTTCAGCATATTTTGGAAGCAGGTGTGTGTAGCAGTTTTTCGTCACCTTGCTAGATGCTCTGTAGATCCACACATTATCTAGGTGCTCCGTTTTGTCATAGGAAAAACCCTGCTCCCAAGTCTTCATGATATATCCATCATGCCTTTATCATCAGGATGAGCCTTGTCAGAAATTCTGCTCCTTGCACTGGAAGGATGGTGGCTTGACTTTGTTCTTCTCCTCCCAGGTCTCAGGAGAAGGAGAACTTAGAGGATCCTCTGGTGGCTTTTCCTCCTGCCCTGAAGTGGAGGATCTGGGACTTCAGAGATATAAATCCCTTCCTGGAGGGAGTCATGAAGAAATTCAGAGGTAAGAAAGAAGGGCTGCGAGTATTTTATACTGGACATTTAAAATTGCTCATAGAATCATAGAGTTGGAAGAGACCACAAGGGCCATCGAGTCCAACCCCCTGCCAAGCAGGAAACACCATCAGAGCACTCCTGACATATGGTTGTCAAGCCTCTGCTTAAAGACCTCCGAAGAAGGAGACTCCACCACACTCCTTGGCAGCAAATTCCACTGTCGAACAGCTCTTACTGTCAGGAAGTTCTTCCTAATGTTTAGGTGGAATCTTCTTTCTTGTAGTTTGGATCCATTGCTCCGTGTCCGCTTCTCTGGAGCAGCAGAAAACAACCTTTCTCCCTCCTCTATGTGACATCCTTTTATATATTTGAACATGGCTATCATATCACCCTTTAACCTCCTCTTCTCCAGGCTAAACATGCCCAGCTCCCTTAGCCGTTCCTCATAAGGCATCGTTTCCAGGCCTTTGACCATTTTGGTTGCCCTCCTCTGGACACGTTCCAGTTTGTCAGTGTCCTCCTTGAACTGTGGTGCCCAGAACTCCAGGTGAGGTCTGACCAGAGCAGAATACAGAACTCCAGGTGAGGTCTGACCAGAGCAGAATACAGAATACAGTGGCACTATTACTTCCCTTGATCTAGATGCTATACTCCTATTGATGCAGCCCAGAACTGCATTGGCTTTTTTAGCTGCCGCGTCACACTGTTGGCTCATGTCAAGTTTGTGGTCAACCAAGACTCCTAGATCCTTTTCACATGTACTGCTCTCAAGCCAGGTGTCACCCATCTTGTATTTGTGCCTCTCATTTTTTTGCCCAAGTGCAATACTTTACATTTCTCCCTGTTAAAGTTCATCTTGTTTGTTTTGGCCCAGTTCTCTAATCTGTCAAGGTCATTTTGAAGTGTGATCCTGTCCTCTGGGGTGTTAGCCACCCCTCCCAGTTTGGTGTCATCTGCAAATTTGATCAGGATGCCCTTGAGTCCATCATCCAAGTCGTTGATAAAGATGTTGAATAAGACCGGGCCCAAGACAGAACCCTGTGGCACCCCACTAGTCACTCTTCTCCAGGATGAAGAGGAACCATTGATGAGCACCCTTTGGGTTCGGTCAGTCAGCCAGTTACAAATCCACTGAGTGGTAGCATAGTCAAGACCGCATTTTACCAGCTTCTTTACAAGAATATCATGGGGCACCTTGTAGAATGCCTTGCTGAAATCAAGGTAGGCTACATCCACTGCGTTCCCTTCATCTACCAGGCTTGTAATTCTGTCAAAAAACGAGATCAGGTTAGTCTGACATGACTTATTTTTCAGAAATCCATGCTGACTATTGGTGATCACAGCGTTCCTTTCTAGGTGCTCACAGACTGTTTGCTTAATGATCTGCTCCAGAATCTTCCCTGGTATTGATGTCAGACTGACTGGGCGGTAATTATTTGGGTCTTCTCTTTCCCCCTTTTTGAAAATAGGGACAACATTTGCCCTCCTCCAGTCTGCCGGGACTTCGCCTGTTCTCCAGGAATTCTCAAAGATGACTGCCAGTGGTTCTGAGATCACATCTGCCAGTTCTTTTAATACTCTTGGATGCAGTTCATCTGGCCCTGGAGACTTGAATACATCTAAACTAGCCAAGTATTCTTGTACTATCTCCTTAGTTATTCTGGGCTGTGTTTCCTCTGCTGAATCATTTGCTCCAAATTCTTCAGGTCGGGCATTGTTTTCTTTATTGGAGAAGACTGAGGCAAAGAAGGCATTGAGGAGTTCAGCCCTTTCTGTGTCCCCTGTTTGCATTTCACCATCTTCTCCTCTGAGTGACCCCACTGTTTCTTTGTTCTTCCTTTTGCTATGGACATACCCATAAAAAGCCTTTTTTGTTGCTTTTAAACTCTCTAGCAAGCCTGAGTTCATTCTGTGCTTTAGCTTTTCTGACTTTGTGTCTACATGTGCTGGCTATTTGTTTGAATTCCTCTTTGGTGGTTTCCCCCTTTTCCATTTTTGTACACATCCTTTTTAATCTTAACTCAGTTAAAAGTTCTTTAGATAGCCACCCTGGCTTCTTTAGGCACCTTCCATGTTTCCGTCTCATTGGTATTGCCTGAAGTTGTGCTTTTACTATCTCCCTCTTAACAAACTCCCAGCCATCATGAACTCCCTTTCCTTTTAGTATTACTGTCCATGGGATCTCACCCAGCACTTCCCTAAGTTTTATGAAGTCGGCTTTCTTAAAGTCAAGAAATTGAGTCCTAGTATGCTTGGCTGCTCCTTTCCGCTGTATAGTAAACTTCAGAAGAGCATGATCACTCGCGCCTAATGATCCTTCCACTTCTACCCCACTAACCAGGTCATCAACATTGGTTAGGACCAGATCTAAAATGGCTGTTCCTCTTGTTGCTTCTCCCACTTTCTGGACAATGAAGTTGTCTGCAAGGCCAGTGAGGAATTTGTTTGACCTTATGCTCTTGGCTGAGTTTGACATCCAACAAATATCCGGGTAATTGAAGTCCCCCATTACTACTATCTCCCTTCTTTTGCATGCTTGGCCATCTGTTCCAGGAAGGCATCATCTATGTCCTCCGTTTGGCTTGGGGATCTACAGTAAACTCCCACAATGAGGTCTCTGTTATTCTTCTCTCCCTTAATTTTGACCCAAATGCTCTCACTTTGGCTTTGAGGTTCTAAATCTTGGATCTCTTCACAGGTATACACATCCCTGACATATAACGCCACTCCTCCTCCTTTCTTGTCTGGTCTGTTTCTCTGAAATAGGTTGTATCCCTCCATTATTACATTCCAATCGTGGGACTTATGCCACCAGGTTTCAGTGATGCCTATTATGTCATATTTAGTTTGCTGTACCAAGAGCTCAAGCTCATCTTGTTTATTTCCCAAGCTTTGCGCATTAGTGTACAGACATTGAAGTCCATTAATCATTCCCCCATGTCTCTTATTTAAGGATTTTTTCCTCCCACCACTAGGTCTGCGTGCTGTTTGCTCCATTTGGTCTATGACATTTGGATGATCATCTTCATCAATTGATAGACTCCTACCTTCAGGAGCACTGTCTCCCTCCCCACATCAGTCAGTTTAAAGCCCTCCTGATGAGGTTTCTGAGATTTTGGCAAAAACATTCCTCCCAACCGTTGTGAGGTGCAGCCCATCGCTTGCCAGAAGTCCATCTTCAAGAAACTGCAGTCCGTGATCTAAGAATCCAAACCGTTCCTGTTTACACCATTTGCGAAGCCAGCTGTTCACTTCCACTATTTTTCCCTCTCTCCCTGGGCCACGTCGTTCAACTGGGAGGACAGATGAGATGACAATTTGTGCATTTAATTGCTTCAATTTCCTGCCCAGAGCCTCGTAGTCTCTTTTGATCTTCTGGAGGCTATTGCTTGCAATGTCATTGGTTCCCACATGAACCAAGAGGAAGGGGTATTTGTCAGTGGGTTTTATGATTCCTTGCAGTCGTTCAGTTACATCTTGGATCTTAGCCCCGGGGAGACAGCACACCTCCCGAGACATCTTGTCAGGCCCACAGATCCCTGCTTCTGTTCCCCTCAGTAGGGAATCCCCTATCACCACTACACGCCTCCTCTTAGGTTTGGTCGGGATTCTTCCGTGAGCTGTCCGTTCCAAGGTCGCCTGCACATTCCCTGAGGACTGACTTTGCTGCTCGTCTTCATATTCCTGATCGACTGTAATGAGGGAGAGATCCTCAAATGGAGTCTGTTCTTCGTCTTCCATGCTAGGGGAGAGGACTTCAAAGCGATTGTGTATTTCTAAACAATCAGAGCGAACCCTGGGCCTCCTACTTCTTTGAGTCACGTTTCTCCATATATCTGGCACCTGTGTTGGTGAACTAGCCTCCTTCTCAGGGGTGTCCCCTGTCTCCTCCTTGGTGGAGACTGTGTTCTCTGTTGCTTCCAAGAAGAGCTCCAGCTCTCTAATTCTTTGGAGCGTAGCTACACATTCCTCTAGTTGATGGACTTTGTCTTTTAAGAGGGCAATCAACATACAATTGCTGCAGGTAAAGCTGCCTGCAACCTTTGGCAAGATGGCAAACATTGCGCAGGAACCGCAGGCGACTGCAGCTGTTCCCTCACCCTCCATCTTGAAAATGTGTCGTTGGGGGTGGCTACAGTGGTCCTCCATCTTAAAAAGCGTGAAGACAGGACAAATAACCCCCCTAAAAAAACCTAGGTCTCCCCCAACAAACGTTTGAGACTAGCTCCCCTAAATCTAAAAGATGGATCAAACTCTGCGCGCCATTAGGTGCGTGCCGCTGCCTTGCTAGCTCTGATAAGCTCCTCCCACAGCTAATCACCTGACCCAACAGAAACCCTGCCCCCTCTGACCTTTGCACAGGGAGAGCAGCTAATCAGCCACAAGAAACTCACACAAGAAAACCCTTTTTGTTCCTTCTTCAGCTGCTGCCCTGCAAGCTCTGATAAGCTCCTCCCACAGCTAATCACCTGACTCAACAGAAACCCTGCCCCCTCTGACCTTTGCACAGGGAGAGCAGCATGAAAGGTTCCAGGTCATTAGCAGTGCCAGGAAAATGGAATGTTTATTTATTTCTTTTCAATATCTAAAAGTCACACTTTCCTATGTAGATGACTCACAACTGATTTTTCTTATGAAATTGAAAGAGGGGGATAAACCCTTCTGGCTGGGCTCTGGAAGCTCCTGCGAGATCTTGGGGGAGCCTCCTAGGTTCCAGTCAGCAAGGTAAAGGGCTTGAAAGCTCTTGCCATGAAGGGTTTGGCCACCAGGCAAATTGCTTTTAAGACCTTACTGGGCTCTGAGAGGCTCCTGCGAGATCTTATGGGGCCATCTTGAGATCTCTGATGGCAGGGGTGATTCTGGGGGTCGTTCTGACTTTGCTCTATTTGCCCTTATGCACAATCCCCAGGAATGTAACCCTCCCTTGAGTTGTGAGTTGTCTGTAAAAAGTTCTACTTGACCTCTTCCCATCTCTCAGCCAGGCCTTAGGTGTTTTCACGCATCTCACCCATTTCCCAAGTAGCCTCACCTACAGCTTTTCAGGCATCTCCTCTGTTCCTTTGGCCCTGAGATTAATGTAAGGGGGGGACAGGAGAGAGGAGGGCTGTCCAGGAGCCAGTCAGGAGCAGAGGGGACTGGGGTTGAGGCCTCCCATCATGGAACGAGGATGTCTGGATCTTGTTGTTCAGGTGGAGATCTTCTGGGGGTCCTGCTCCTCCTCCCAAGATTTTTGCAGGCCTGAACTTTGACATCACCTTATGCAGGGTTAGCCAGTATGGAGAGTTTCAGATAGTTTTAACTGCAACTCCCATTATCTCCAGCTGGCATGGCCAGTGGTTAGGGAGGATGGGACTTGTAGTCCACAACACCTGGCTACAATCTCATGAGCTCATATTGTTGATGTCTGAATGATGGTGTGATGCTAAATCTCTGTTCCCCTTTCTCTCCTAGACACTGTGGTATATGGACTTCAGCTGCAAAAAGGTACTTTTAATCATCATAATAATTTATTATTCATACCCCACTCATCTGGCTGAGTTTCTTCAGCCATTTCTGAATCAAAAAGAGGCACAAATTCGGGAGAGATGGTATCCGCTTCTCAAAAGACCAGGCCATTGCAGCTCTTCCTTCCATGCCTTATTTCCCCTTATTTCCAGGACGCATATGATCAGTGAGAGCAGCATGCTGGGCTAGATGGGCTCTTGGCCTGATCCTGCGGACTCCTAGGAAGCCCCCAGCCCAGGATGCCTGGCCTTTCTGTGCCCAATCTCACTAAGACACAGGGGTGGTGTGAAGCCAAAGGCTCCCGGCACATGAGGGGAAAATATCCCTTTGATCCATACCAGATCCACACCCCTTTTAGGAGAGTTTATGTAAGAGTAAGGTTTACTCATATGTGGGAAATGCATGTACAGAAATAGCTCAGAAAATGACCTTTGGGCGCGAGAAGGTAAATGGGTTCTGGTGTCAGTGGAGGGAGATGGGGGCTGCCTGAGTGTGAACTCCAGGGGTCCAGCATCCCTGCAAGATGGGGGGTCTTCCCTCAGCTTTTGTATTGGAGGGGAGACATGACTTCTCTGCTGCAACATGATGACGAACTAGAGAAACTTGAGTAAACTTAAAAGAGCAGGGCAGAATTGCACCACAGACCATAGCTGTCAACGTTTCCGTTTTTTTAAGGGAAATTCCCTTATTCCGAATAGGATTCCTTGCAAGAAAAGGGGAAAGTTGACAGCTATGCCATAGACTGTGGAAAAAGGCTTAGTGGGAAGACAGAAGTCCAGTCTGGCCTGATCCTGGACACTACAAAAAGGGAATCATCAGAGCTGGAAAAGGTGTAGCAGATGGCAGCATAAAGGAAACTCTTGCTTATCTTTAAAATTATATAATTATATTCTGGGATTCTTTTAGACAACAGCAATGAGTAAAATGCATAAAGGCTAATCAACACAATAAAAAACTAGAAAACCCCATTACATTAAAAAAAAAAAGACTAATAGCAGCAGTGGCAACATCCCACATCACACTTAATCTCCAAAGGCCACTGTGTAAATGTGTGTCTTTAAAAAGAAATTGCTTGACTAACATTCCATACCGGGGGTGGGGGGCGACTGCAGAGCAGATCTTCTTCCTAATCTCCCCCAGCCTGACCACTTTCTCATTGTGCTTTCACTGCCCACCTTTTCCATAAATGTGAGGGGGGGAAAGACAAGTCATATAGCCAATCAAGACTAGGGAGCCATTGAAGGTGACAGTTGGGAATGGCACTTCCTAGGTGTTGCAGAATCATAGCATAGCAGAATCATAGCACTGTAGAGTTGGAAGGGTCCCTGGGGGTCATCTAGTCCACCCCCCTGCAATGCAGGAATATGCAGCTGGTCCATACAGGCATTGAACCTGCAACCTTGGTGTTATCAGCACCATGGTCTAACCAACTGAGCTATCCAGGGATAGCCCACGGAGCCTCCTCAGTGCAGCGGGGTGCCTTCATCCCGCTGCCCTGCGGAGGCTTTGCGCAGCTAAGCCAGAAGCTAGAACAGCGAGAGGGAGCGCTGCGCAGCCTGCATTCGCTCCATAAGATGCACACACATTTCCCCTTACTTTTTAGGAGGAAAAATGCGTCTTATAGAGCGAAAAATACGGTACTTCGAACTCTTGCAGATGTTTCAAGAATCCTTATTAAGAACTTGATGGACATCCCTCTCTTGAATGCAGACCCCTGGAGTCCCTGTTCATTTCAGAGGGGATGCTATTTCTGTCATGTGCCTAAAAAAGAGTCAGCTTCCCAGTTGACGTCGTTTCTCTTCTCTTTCCTCCTCTGCCCCCACAGAAAATGTAACATTGGATCCAGACACAGCACATCCCCGCCTCATCCTGTCTGATGATCGCAAGAGTGTGAGTTGGGGAGGAGTGTGTCAAGACCTGCCAAAAGACCCTGGGAGATTTGACACATGGCCCTATGTGATGGGATGTGAGGGTTTCACAGCAGGCAGACATTTCTGGGAGATTTCTGTGGGGAGCGAGTGGGAATGGGCCGTGGGGGTGGCCAGAGAGTCTGTGAAGAGGAAAGGCAAGTTCATCGCTGGTCCTAAGGAAAGGATCTGGCGCATAGGGAAGTGGAGTGATCAATACACGGTCTCCACCCGCAATGGGCGTCCTGTTTTGATTCTGGGTGGGGAGCCCAAGAGGATCCGAGTGACCCTGAACTGTGAAGGGGGACGGGTGTCCCTTTATGATGCTGATACAGCAGCCCTTCTCTACTCATTCTCAGTAGCCTCCTTCTCTGGAGAGACCCTCCAGCCCTTCTTTTACGTGAGTGAGGAAGGGAACCTGAGACTCTATTGACTGAGAGTGCAGACAGACAAGCGTATATTCATGGCCATCATGACACATTCAGTCTCCTCTTCAGGACTGAGCTGACAGGCACTTAAGGAGAAACCACATTTGCCTAACTGTGATTGGTCATCCCTTATGTCAGTCATGATGCAACTCTCCCTTCTCAGGCCAGCTTGGCAAATGACACTGATTGATTGGGTCCCCTGTCAGTCCCCAAACTTGCCTCTCTCCCTTGGGAATCAGCTACTTCTGTCGGTGCAGGAGGTGCAAAGAAGCAAGAAAATGATTTAGGAAACAACAGCACCCCCTTCCCACATTTCTGTTTCGATATAGTTCTCTTTCCATCCTCCAACTCTGACTTAAAATTTCTAGCGACAATACCATCATCTCTTCTGAATACAATCAGAATTATGCAAGGGCATCACTTAAAACCTTCCTCAGCCTCAATCCTGCTCTCAGATTCCTTTTCCTCCCCCAAAACCTCCACTAGACATGGAGATGGAAGTTCCAAAGCCCCTTTTTTGAGACTACTGAGGGAAGCTTATGTGGTAATTCAGCAAAATATCCATATCCAAAGAGACCTGCTTGGGAGTGGAGTACAGTCGGCCCAAAATTCATGCACAACTTACATGATCACAGCTTAGAACCCTTCATCGAACCACAAATTAATAAATAGAAAGAGGGAGAGAGACCGTGAAGAACTGTCGGAAGGGGTTGTGTGAGTCTCCAGAGCCCAGAAAGCAATGGCAGGGGGGCTTTGGCAGGGGGGGAAAGAGTTTCTAAGTCCACCTTGCTTCCCGGCATCTAGAAAGGTTGCATAAAGCTCTCAAGATCTCTGGCTTCAAACAAGTAGGGATGGTTGCTTGGGGGGCATTTTTGGGGGTCTTCCTGACTTGCACAATATTGCCTTTGCATTCTGACCCCAGAAACGTAACCCCCCCCCCACAGGTTTTGGGCCTCGATGTAACAAAATCCCCTCTGACAGTGAAGAGCCTCTGTCAGAAGTTCTGAGGAGAGGACAGTGACAACCTAGAATATTTCGGGGGGGGGGGGTTGGTAAATTCCCATGTATACAATTATTTTCTCCAAGGTGCTTTGTAGTGAGCAGTCAGATACATATCTGTATTTTTAGAGATCACCTCTTCTTATATTTTTGTATAATGGGCCTGAAAGTATTTGGGGATATGTTTCCTGTGCTAACGTGTTTGATTCTATTAAAGATTGTACGTCTTGTTGCTCCTATTTTGTTTCAAACTTAACAGTATAACATCCGTTCCCTATGACACTTCCTCTAGGGATTTTAGGGGGGGGGTTCTATCCTGTTTTATCCTCAGAGAAACCCTGTGAGGTAGAAGAGGCTGAGCTGAGAGACTTAGAAAAAGGAGACACATTAAAGTTTATGAAGAAGAAGAGTTTGGATTTGATATCCCGCATTTCACTCCCCTTCAGGAGTCTCAAAACGGCTAACAATCTCCTTTCCCTTCCCCCCCCACAACAAACACTCTGTGAGGTGAGTGGGGCTGAGAGACTTCAAAGAAGTGTGACTGGCCCAAGGTCACCCAGCAGCTGCATGTGGAGGAGCGGGGAAGCGAACCCGGTTCCCCAGATTACGAGACTACCGCTCTTAACCACTACACCACACTGGCTCTATGATCAAAAGGCATTCG